CACTCTCTCCTTAATCCCTATGTATTTTTAAACAAATAGAGTTTTTTTAGTTACCTCCAATGGCCATGAGAGGGTAAGCCCACCTGCCAACGTCAAGGCAGACCCCCCTAGGTGGGTCCTAACTCTAACCATTCACCTTGCTTCCTTGTATACAAATTCACATGCTCACTGCCCACAAACACAGATACACACACATATGCACACATTGACACACATGAACATTGTCACACACATATAGAAGTCATATTTTGCATATATTTAGCCATCCTCCTTTTTTAAACCCATTTGGGTGCAGGAAAGTGGCTTCCCTTGTGTCCTCTGGATGCAGCAGACACCGACTGAGGTTAATGGGAGTCTGTACCCAGGCTCTTGCCTTTCGACGCTCAGCATCCTTCTCCTCTCTTTGCCTTCTTTGCAACTTCTGCAACACTGGGATAAAGTGACTTTAATCAAGCTGCAGAGTAATGAGAGGCCAAGTCTGGTGCGCTATTAAAGGACCAAGGCACAAGATCAGAGAATTTCAGCAGGTGGCCCTCACACTTGGGTCCATCCATTGAGGTTCTCTTGTGGACCACTTTAGCTTGCAGTCCTAGCGCTCAGTCAATGACCCAGAAAGCTGGTTGCAGTGCTTTGAGTTATTTAGATGTGAATGTGATGGAGCTCCTAGTGTGATCTGTACCCAATAGAGGTGCCGACCGCAATGCTTCCTTGAGGTAGTGAGGGGCCCAGGGTCAAGCAGTGACAACTTCATATGTCCATGCTGGCTCAGTTAATACTCCTTCACAGACAGAGCTGGAGCTCTAAGTTCAGACATGTTCCCACCAGCATTAACTGGATGAGGAAAGCTAGGTTCTAAAATTAGTCTGCTGCACTCTCATACATTGATTTTAACTAAATATAGCCTCTACCATAAAATCTAAAGATTTCCAAAAAAATTATTGAATAACATTTTTCATGCAACAACCCAAGATTCTAAAGAGTTAGCACTTCCCTGTCTAAAACATTTATAGAATGTTTGGGTCAAATGCTTTTGTAGATTTCAGAAGTGGAAATTGACTGAGAGAAAAATTTCTAAGCTAAATGGGTGAAATAAAAAAATTGTTTTAGGACATATATGATAAATAAATAAAACACATTTTAATACTAGGATCAAGTGTAGTCTTTATTAGATTTCCATAACTATTCAATATTTTGTCAGTTGTTTATATGTATCATATGCCTAATTAGTTTTCTTATACGTTTTGAAATATTTTACATTCTATGCTTGGATTCTAAGTCATCAGTTAATGAATTGTACAAATCATTGGTCTGTCACTAGGCAGATGGTTGTTAAATTTGCCTCCAAGGACTCTCTGTAGATTTAGGATTCTATATTTAGATACATTAAATGCTATGTTCTGTGTTTTTCTTTTTCTAAATTTGAGTGAAAAATTATGATAAATGGAACATGTAAGCATGATGCTGTGAGACAGTAATGCAGCATATTTAACATGTTGTTGAAAATGGTTAAAGGGACACCCCAAGCACCATAATAACAAATGTTCTTCTTCACATAGGTTGTGGTGCGAAGAGGTCCCATATTCCATGCACATAGTTGCTGATAACGGCAGCAACTTGTGTGGAACTTCTGTTGGGGTTCTAAACTATATTTTCTATCCCATCCTCTTAAAATTAATGATCAACAAATTCTTTAATCTGTTGATCATTTCTAAAAAGCAATTTCAAGAAATTAAAGAACATGCTAACCTTAGTATCACCCACTACATCCTCAGACTAACAGAGGAACAATGTAATATTATCACATGAGAGGTGAGACATCTGCAAGAGGTGTTCACCATCACCTGTATTGTTTATCAGACTCCTTCATAGATACAGCTGCATTCATTGTTATGGTGATGCCATGCAGGTCCTCATTGAAACATCAAAGAATCCCATAAATATGCAGTCACTACCACATGGTTTATACTCAATAGTACTGCTGCACCACATAACTTCCATGACATTGTTTCTACTACTGTGATTACACCATACTATCACTCTGTACTCCATGTATGTTACAAAGCCCTTCCTTACATTTCCAAGCTATATAGAACAGACCACAGCACACATCGTTACAGTGAAAGTTCTACGTCTTGGATGACCTCAATGTACTAGATTATAGAACCATACATTACACATCTTCACTACAGTCCATATAGCACACTGACAAAACATTTACAGTAAATCAACACATTTAACATTAGTGCAGAAGTGCAGTTCTGAAACCCATTCCCTCTATCCACCATTTGTCTTAACATGTCTTTTCTGTTTTCTTTTTATTTGTAGGTTACATGCACATGGGGGCAAATTTGTCTCATCCCGGCTATATAAATCCATAGCGAGATCAATACTTAGATTAATGATCTGTCACTCTTAGTGTTCCAATGCTCACTTAGATTTATCTCAGATGATCTCTTACTTGACCCTTTTAAATTCTGCTTATCTAACTCTCTTTTTAGTGGAGACAAATATAACCATACCGTGTTCCTACTGTATATCGTAGTTTATGCTATAGGTTTTCCTCTGTGTTAATCTTGCATTGAATACACCCCAATTTTATCATCACTGAATTTCTTTTTACATTAATATATATATATATATATATATATTAAAATAAAAAAAAGATTTGATAAACTGTTTTGCTATTCGTTGCTATTATTATTGCTATAAAGGATTAGTCTTCCCATTTATATTTGAATATTGATGTATGAGGAGACACCTAGATTTGATTCAATGAATGTGGTGTTTCAGAATACAGGCAAGCTATGGCTGAAGCAACCTCATTTTAACTTTCCAATGAAAAGACCTCTACTCTTGCCTAAATGGACGACAATCCCAATAAACAATGGTGAACAGCTATTTCAGTGACTGGAATTTCCATCCCTTGTTCGGATTTATAATAGATACTCTGAAATGCACCTACAAATACATGTTTGCCAATGTCCAGTAATCAATAATCACTTGGATTTCAAATCTATAGTACGATTGTATGTACTATTGTATATGTATAGTATGGCAATTCAATAATACAGAGCTCTGGATATAAATCAATGTGATATGTTAAGGGGAAGATAGTATATTTTATTAGATAATCCAATGTCTATACAGAGCCATTACTTGTAAATATTTACTTGTTAGTGCTCTGTAAGGTATAAAATGAGACCACCACCATCATTAATGAGGGTACCCGGTCACTGGGAAACAAAACACAATGTTTTGATTAATTAGAAGACTTTGGAGGATATTCATTCCCTGTTATTATTGCCATCTTAATTGTCATATATTCAAACAAAACAGAATCTCTTATCACCATAGAAACACACAGCTTCTTTGTTTAAGTGCCACCACAATCACAAGTATTTTAAGATGTCCATGATTAAGGATCATAGGACAAATTTGACACTACACACTTTCACTGTAATTACTTGTAATCCCTTTTCTGCTGTTTGCCCACGGTTAGGGACAGGATCAGTGTAAGCCTCTGCTTAGTGTACAAACAAAAAGAAGACACAGCGCTAACCTCAAAGGGAGCAGGATTGTAATCTGGATAGCCCAAAAAAGAAAGGGTAGTAGCAAAAAACAAACTGCTACAAATACTTAAATATGAGTATCACATATAGAAGTGGATGCATAAGATTTAAATCTAACAACTTTTACACAAGGTGCAATATATGTCCCAAAGAGAAAAGTGTTTTTAGTAGCAAAGTAAAACCTGCTAGAGATAGTGTCTTTTATAAGTCAGTTGGTTATCATTCTTGATAGACAAACAATCCGCTCTTTATGTAAAAAAAGATGATAGGGCAATCGGTTCCGGTTCTGTTATTGATCTCATATGAAATGTAAACATAGAAAAGAACAACAATAGTGTAACCCAGTATGTTCAATTATCTACTTTCTATAGTGGCAAAAATACACTCACAAAGGGAGAGGATCCAATCAACTCTTAGATAGCGCTTAGAGTGGTATGATCTCCGCTCACAGATATGTTTCTAGGCGTTCCTTTTGAGTGCTCACAGTGCAACTGGCATATGAAATAAATAAAACAAATATAGAGCTCTCTGCTTTAAATGGTAACAACTGTAAATTCAGAATGATATCTACTTACATTTTTTTTTTTATATATTCTTTATTTTTGTTGCACATATAAAATACAGTGTAAGACTGCCTCGCCACAACAGCGGAGCTGACTTTTCATTTGCAGACATGTTATGACAGTATCATATCATTGACAGTGTGTGCATAAAATTTTATATTAAAATAAGTATGTCATGCTGTGCCTAAATGTTTAGGTTGGGATGTCGGATTCCATGTTGCCAGGCTAATGGTACACCAAACTGTTTATAGGGTTAGTAAGATGGGAGTAAGGTCTAGGTAGACTGAGTTAAAAAAATAATAATAAAAAAATAAAATAAAATAATATAAGGATAAGAACTGGGTGAGTCTTATAGGCTTATAGCTACCCTAAACGTTTGGATTCAGCTTGTGTCTGTGGATTTTGCTATACTGAGTCTTATAGTAGGTATAAGGTGAGCTGGTGGTTCTGTGGGCGTACTCGTGGGGAACAGATGCACTCTCCTGGGAGGTCTAGAGTGAGGTGGCCGTTGGAACGTGTATGTGTCTATTGTTCCTTAGGGTGTGAGATATTCTCCGTTGAGAGTTAATGCGGGTGGCAGTGCTGGGGAGGGACGCGTTCCTGTTGGCCAGTCAGTGGCTTTTCGTTTCGGTGTGGGGGGGGGGCGCTCGGTAACCCTTGAGTGTGGGGGTGGGGGAGGTTGTGTATGTAGTCGGCCTGTCTGTCCTTGTGGAGTAAAGTTGGAACCTTTGCAAATTATACAAACAGTATAACAATATAACGCTGGCTAATCATGCTGTGAGAAAACTGTAAATTATAAGTGTTAACCGCATTGCTATTGATTGCCAGTCCATCGGCTAACTCTCCTGTGAGAGAGTGAAGGTAAGTCTCAGTCCTCTTGTTGTGTCTCAGCCTGTGTCGGCCTCGCAGCGAGGTACAAAGGGGGTATGTTAGGTACGTCCCAGGAATGTCCAAGGGTAGGGGCTTTCTTCTTGAGGCCCGTGAGTCCCAGACTGCGAAGGAAGGGGTCGGCGTCTGTCGCTGATGTGAGTCGGCGGGTGGTCTCGCCCTGGGTGGCTACCAGTGTACGAGATGGGCCCCATCTGTACTGGACGCTTGCCTCTCGGAGGGTCTTGGTAACCTGGTTAACTGATCGCCTCCACTCAAACGTTGCTCTGCAGAGGTCCTGAAGGAAGGTGAGTTGGGAGTCTTCAAATGGAAGTGGGCACTTGTTTTTAACGGCATCCATTACGGCCTGTTTATCCTGGGTGGTCTGGAAACGGAGAAGGACATCATGGGGTGCGTCCGCTGGTGCCCTGGGAGACTTGGAGAGTCTATGTATTCCGTCCACTTGTAGGGTTTTCACCTGCTTGGGTTGCATGATCTCAGATAGAAGGCGCCGGATAAAGTGGGGTAGCTCTCTGTCATTAACTGTTTCTGCAATGCCTCTGACTTTGACGTTGGCACGTCTCCTGGCATCGTCCATTGCGTCCACTCTGGCCTGTAAGGCCTGGTATGAGCCCTGAAGTTGTCGTATTTGCTCTGTTGCACTTGTTTGTGGCTGTGCTATGGAGGAGATATCCTCCTCTGTGGCTTTCACCCTGTCTGTTACGCCGTGACCTTCTCGCGAAGCAGTGCTATATCTGTATGGAACCAGGTGCGCAGGTGTTTCAGGATGTCTCCTTTAGTTGCTGGGGCCCCGAGGTCACCTACTTGTATGGTCGAGAATGGGTCATCTGCTTTTGGTGTCCGGGGAATCCAGTGGATCCTCTTCCGAGGAGTGGCCTAGGGATTCAGGCGTCGCCGCCATTTTGATTTTAGGCCTCGCCAGAAATATGTCCCCTATTCTTCTTGTGCCCTCGTCTGAGTGGGCCTTTAGTTTCTTTGTTCGTTTTCCCATCTTGTGGGGCAGTTGGGTTGTCGATAAGTTGGTACGGCACTGCTGATTTTTGGGGTTAATTCTTGAATTTTGCTGATTTCGGCCCGGAGCCCTGCCGACATGCGACTGCTCTCTGTTGCTGTCAGGCTCCGCCCCCCATATCTACTTACATTTTTAAGAACTCCATAAGTTACAAATGCAATCAGTCAATTTAAAATGACGATTTGAAGTTCATAAATGACAACAGGGATACAAGGCAACTGATATAATGTACATGAGAATAGATTAACAACTATGTGAAAAAACCCAGAAAGATCATGATAACGTCAATGCGAATTTAACAGAAAGGTCAAGGGTATCATTAGTCATTCTCTGTTGTCATCAGGATTGGCGAGGAAGGATGACAGGGGATGGGACAGGGTTTATATGAAGGCTGATTAAATCTCATTTCTATATATACACAAGATCTATTGCACGTATTGTCTCCATGAGAACCAAATACAAAGCTTGTTGGAACTTTGAAACTCATAAGTTGCAAAATAGTTAAATAGTTTATTAATTTAATGTTCTTGGCTTTTGTTATCCATCGTTGCAAAGTAGGTGGACATATTTTACTCTGGATCTTAGAATTAATGCTGTAATAGAATCCAAAATGTTTCCTATTATATATTTAAAAAAAAAAAACTACTTGGGAACATTTTCTAATTGCAATTGAAGACATGCACTTAAGTATTTTGGAAACAATCTTTACATAAACTCAAGTATTTTGGAAACCATGTTTAAAATAACCACTGTGTTACTAATGCAATAATAGTAAGCTATATTTCTCTAAACAAGACAATGCAGTACCACAATTATTTTGGTAAAAGAAAAGTTACTTGTGCACTATCCCAAATCCAATGGCCAGTAAAGTGCAAGCTTATCTGCTCTGTCAAGGCAATCATCTAAGGTTAGTCCACTAAAAATTCACCTTGCTGCAATGAGCTAAAAGACAAAAATCCTCTAATGATAGAAATGGGTATTTTTCTATATACTTATTACTTCTTAATAGGGTACCAGACATCCCAACATGCAAAAATGCATTTCAGGGAGGTGGCTTCACAAGCTACTGTGTCGCGCCCTCCCCGCACGCACTCCCCCCCCCCCACAACACACACAGACACACATACAAACACCTTGACACACAGATACATGTACTGGCATATACACACACTGATGCGCACACTGGCGCATACACACACTCTGGAACATACATACTGACACACAGATGCATACACTGAATCACACACACACACACACACACACATATACACACACTAGCACATACACTCAGATACACACACTGGCATACAGATATGCACACACTGACATACAGATACACACATTACCACACACACTCAGATACACACACTGACATACAGATATACACACTAGCATACACACTCAGATCCACACACTAACATACAGAAACACACACTAGCACACACACTCAGATACACACACTGAAATACAGAAACACACTAGCACACACACTCAGATACACACACTGGCATACAGATGCACACACTTCCACATAAACTCAAATACACACACTGGCACACTCAGACACACACACTCAAATAAACACACTACAAACACTCAGATAAACACACTTACATACAGGTACACAGACTCAGATACACACTGACACATACACATACACACAATCTGAAACACACACAGGTCATACTTTTTATATTTGCAGCCACCCTCTTGTTAGCTTACCTTTGTGTCCAGGAGGGAAGCTTACTTGGAGTTCTGACTGAGGCTGATGGGAGTGAGTGCCTCTATGCTGCCTCCATGCTTCTGCCATCTGCTTCCATGCTGCTGCCTCCTCCCTCCAGTCCTCCTGAGCGGGCAGCTCTCTGTGAAGCAGTGAGGAAGTAGCTGTCACTTCCTCCCTGCCAGCTGATATCACAGGGGCTCGGTCGGCTCTTAAGGGCTGGCACCCGACCGGGCCACTGTTTAATGAGTAGTATGGAGGTATTAGGGGGTGCAAATCATACACAATATAATGGAAATCACACACACACACACACATCAGATTGTGTGTGTGATTTCCAGGATATTTTGTATGACTTGCGGGTGTCAGGGAGCAGCATTCACCACGCGGGTGTGGGATGTCTGGGGTACACATGGGGAGGGCGGCAGCACTGTAACATGGCTGTGTAGTGCAAAAATAAATTCTAATTTAAGCCCTACGCTTAAACTCCCACTAATCCTGGGCGGCAGTAATGGTTACAGTATTTATCAGCCTAAACACCTTGACCAAAAGCAAAACATTTAAATAAAAACAACAGGATAATTTTGGCACTGGAGACATATAGATGAGAAATAGGAAGCCTTTTCAGTTATTTCAAAAGAGAGATTGTTTGTGAAAAGGATTATCAAAGGCTTGCCAGAGATTCCACTTAATTAAAGAAGTAGTTTTGGCATTCTATGAGGAGATAGCTTACTTTTGGAGTCTTTTTATCAAAATTCAAAGAGTCAAAGGATTAATGAAGTATTACAATTATTTAGCTTCCCTCCATTCTGGATTGCTGGCTCAGTAGCACGGAGTAATGTCCCAGACTGCTTTTTTGGAGATTACTAGCCCAAACTCTATAAGGTATGATACACATTTATGGAAGATACATAAATGGTGTGGAACTTCATGAAGTTTATTATTTATGATAAATGAAAAGCTTTTAGATGTCATGAGGTCAACTGAGGCCTCTGAGGAAAAGGAGTATGTTTTCTGGTGCACGAAACGATAGCATTCCAAGTGGTTTTAATTGAGTATTGATAAATGACAATGGGACATACTTGACACAGTTCCTTGGGGCCTGTGACAGGGGCATTGCTAGCATAAAAAAATACAAGGGGTTTGAGCTCAGAAATTATTTTGTGACCCCCCCATACCCAAAGCCCCACCCCATTTCTGTCCCTCGGCAATTTCACTGGTTAACATGCCTTTTGGCACATACACAGTTACTTACAGACACACAAAGATACACACACACACACATAGATACACGCAGACATGCAGAGGCACAGACACACACAGACAGGTACTGACACACACACAGACATGCAGACACAGGCACTGACAGGTACACACAGGCATGGACACAGACAATTACACAAAGACACAAGAACATATAGGCTCAGACACACACATAAATAAACAGGCACCAACAGATACACACAGGAACTGACAGGACACACAGACACATGCAGACAGAGACAGGCACAGACAGTACACACAGACATAGGTACACACAGACAAGCACACACAGGCATGCATATACACAACAAAAATAATGTATCAGTGGTACCTTGACAACATATAGGCTCACACACACATAAAGAGACAGGCACCAATTGGTACACACAGAAAGAAACAGACAAGTTCAGACAGGACACACATATATAGCAAGTACACACAGACACCGATAAGCACACACTGGCATACATATACACAACAAAAATAACGTGTATATATCTTGTCAGTTGTACCTTGCCTGGCCAATCAGTGTTTCAGCAGGGCAAACGGCTGCAAACGACTAAAAGTGATATTCACCACAGACCAATAACTGGTATATACCTGCATTTAGCACATATTTATATGCAGTATAGCTCATTGATAGGTTTGGGCATATCATTTCATAGTTTGTTTAGAGTGCGTGTATAATATGCATTTTCTAATACACAATCTACTTTGATATATATATGCGCCATTTGCTTTTTTTTTGTTAGACTTTACTAGCTGTTGGTGTTGAGCTGCAATACAAACTTTGATAAACTGTAGCAGACATATAAATGTTTGTGGAATAAATGCAATCAAATATTTTTTCAAGGAACACTCAAAGCACCATAACTACTGCAGCAAGTGAAGGGCTGTTCAACAGATCCTTTTCTCGGAACTCTGCAGTGATGCCTTAATATCCAAGATGAGTATCTGAGAAATATGTTTCCACATAAAGTTCAAATACCAACTTAACACAGATATACAGTTGCAAGAAAAAGTATGTGAACCCTTTGGAATGATATGGATTTCTGCACAAATTGGTCATAAAATGTGATCTGATCATCATCTAAGTCACAACAATAGACAATCACAGTCTGCTTAAACTAATAACACACAAAGAATGAAATGTTGCCATGTTTTTATTGAACACACCATGTAAACATTCACAGTGCAGGTGGAAAAAGTATGTGAACCCTTGGATTTAATAACTGGTTGAACCTCCTTTGGCAGCAATAACTTAAACCAAATGTTTCCTGTAGTTGCAGATCAGATGTGCACAACGGTCAGGAGTAATTCTTGACCATTCCTCTTTACAGAACTGTTTCAGTTCAGCAATATTCTTGGGATGTCTGGTGTGAATCGCTTTCTTGAGGTCATGCCACAGCATCTCAATCGGGTTGAGGTCAGGACTCTGACTGGGCCACTTCAGAAGGCGTATTTTCTTCTGTTTAAGCCATTCTGTTGTTGATTTACTTCTATGCTTTGGGTCATTGTCCTGTTGCAACACCCATCTTCTGTTGAGCTTCAGCTGGTAGACAGATGGCCTTAAGTTCTCCTG